TGTTTGCACAATAGTTTTTTCACTTTTTTTAGCCCCACCAGCGGCATAATAACTCTGATGACAATGCTGTCTGTCGGCTGAGACACATCTGCACTCGGTGAACGTAGCTAAAACACACTAAACTCACGTCAACACACTAATGACTATAATATCATGTCAGAATTATCAGTTGCTGAATCGTAAAGATACTGTTCAACACATTCATACCACCATAGGTCCAGTGTTCACTACAATCTTTAATTGCCTGCATGATTATGTTATGTGGGGGAAACTGCCTGCCTACCAAGTCTCATCTGATTCCATTTATAGAGAGGCTGCATGCAGCAACAACAAAGGACAGTGTTACAAATTCATCACTTCACTCCAGAGAAAAATTTCAGACAGAGTCAGAAGGGAAAGCTTTCAAAAATAGGCCACAGCCACTATGAACCATGTATGCAACATAATAACAGGAGGTGTGAATATATTAACAGGATCAGTGACTCTCATAAGAGTTCAATTTTGAGCTCCTCAAGATAAAGCAGACTGAATTATGCAGCTTTTTATCGGCTATTAGCAAGGCTGGTAAAAAAAAAAAAGAAAAAGGTCCCAGACATTCCTGTAATGCTTGTTTTCCTCTGACAGAGATGCAATTATGACAAAAATGTTCCACCAAGCGGTGAAATAAACTCATTCCAAATGACAGCCACGTTGACCCCCTGAGGTCTGGCTCTTACGATGCACAGGGACTCATCTGATTGGACAGGAGTGGAATTGGCAGAAATGCTCCCAGGAGCAACTTTGACATTAATACTGCATGTACATCACAGTGGGTCTTTAATTTACCTGACATGCGTTTCATGTCACACGTGCAAAGACTTGCATTATGGGTCACGTCAGAAGGAAAGACACAAAGTAGGCTAGTTGTGTGCAGCATAATTGAAGTCAACTAAAAATCTCACCACAAACCACGTGAACAATAAATGAGCAGGTCACTGCATAAACCTTTTAAAGTGAGCCCAGTGTTCCCATTAGGGCCATCAAATCTGCACTTGATAAGCCATAATGAAAAGAATGAAAATACTGATCGAAGCTTAGACACAACAACTGAAGGACAGATTTGTCTGTTGTCATATCAGTCAGCATGTACAGGGTTATATTAGGTTACGTTCACACTGCAGGCGAAAGCGCATCAAATCCGATATTTTTGACCCTATGCGACCCATATCCGATCATGGTATGACAGT